GTTCCCAGTACGGTTGTGTTTTCCAGTGTGGGCAGCATGCCATTAGAACTAATGGCACCCGTTCGCGGGTCTGCATTCTTCTGTGCGGCTGCACGGATTTTCATGCAGATCCACAGCAGCACCACCTGCACAGATGTGAACCTAGCCTTAGTGGGCGCCAGTAGGCACTAAAACTGGCTACCCAATCAACAGACTCAATGGTGACTTGGTGACTGAATTTTGAAGAGTAGGCCCATGAAGTATGAACATCAACAGTATCATTTGCTTAAGGCATATGAATCACATCCGGATGAATGATGTAACCAGATTAAGGCAATGTTGGAAGTCCATGTCTAGAAAGCAAAACAGTAAAATGTGGGGTACCCCTGTAAGTGGTGGTGGAATAATGGACTTGTGTGTGTTCTTGTGGATAAGGTACATTGATGAGGTTTTGATGCTGTGGAATGGTACTCTATGCAAGTTGGAGAGGTTCATGGAGGAACTTAGTAATAATTCCCGTAAATTTACCTACACTAGATGCTTGTGAGATTTTTTTGGACCTGTCCATCAAGATTGAAAATGGTAGACTTAAGACCAAAACCTTTAGGGAAAAAAAACTGCAGCAAACACACTTCTCCATGTTTCTAGTCACCATCCTAGTTCTTTAATTAGAGGTATACCTGTAGGCCAATTTATGTGAATTCAGAGGATAAGGCCTATAGGAGGACAGAAGCCGGGGACCTCTACAGTAGATTCAAAGAGGGGTTACTCACATCACACACTCAGAGAGGCCAAGAAGAGGGCCAGTACATGGAAAGACATGAGCCGATAAGATCTAGGGATGTTGTGAAGGGCAAAGACTTACCTAATGATGATCCAGTGAGATTACCCAATTTGGGACCCAGTGGAATGGAGGTACGCAAGATCCTTAATAGGCATTGGCATACTCTGACATGTTTCACACCATTCATGGTCGCTAAGAGGGCCAAAAATCTAAAACGATATGCTTGTACAGTATGAATTTATACATACATTCCCACTCCTCAGACATAATAGCCTATGTAAAGGAATTCATAATTACAGGGCCACTCTTTTTTGAATACGCATTCCCTATCATCTGTTCTATAAGGGAGAATTAAAAAAAAAAAAAAAAAAAAGCAAATCTGGTACCTATACACAATGCCTGTCCCCCAAAGATTCATTGCTCTGTAGTCTCAGGTTCTCTAGTGGGATAAATGACAGTCAAGATCATTCTACCCACTTACTATGAGTGTAGGACACCATGGACATCTCCTGTGAATGGCAGATGATGGCCAGCACTGGCAGTATAATGATGCAGAGGACAATAATATGCTGACATTATGTTAGTGATGCCCCCTAATCATTGAGGACCATCCATCAACTGATAAGAAGAGAGGGAGAATGGAAATCCTGTGCATCACGAATCTATATGGGCTGGGGGGTGACTGAACGTTAAAGCTGAACTTAGGGCAAAAACTTCTTTACATGTCCTTGTTGATTTCCTACCTTCACTGAATAGGTCATCCATCTTCTGGTTTACTCAGTAGTTGCTCTGATATAGCCTATTCATTTTCAAATCAAACCGTTAATTCTCTTTGGTTCCTGTTTGCAAGGCTGATGGCTTTGTCGCCTATTCCCCCAGCCACTGGTCTCTGCACATCCCTTCTGTAGTTCTTTCATCAGGAAGCAGTGATGTAATTCAGCCCCACTTTCAGTGATGGGAAGACCGAGACTCAGACACATTCAACATGTACAGGCCTAGTGTACCCACCCACAGTCACGACAATTCCCGACGGTTGATGGGAACTGTAGTTTCCTTTTACTGCAGAGGAGAGGATATGATGTAATCCCGGCTGTTACACCTCCTCCTTGGCAAAGCAGATGCGGCTATCTTTTGAATTACAGAGATAAGGTCATGAAAATTCAAATAGATTTTTCTTCTGAAGGGTAAGGATTTAAAAAATGTTATGAACGGTTTAGTGTAGGGGGGGGGGGGCACTAATGGATGATTTATTGCCATTCCCAGAGTTTGTCTTTAAAGCCCATGTCCACCAACATTTTTGTTTCCTATCCCATCTGCTGTAAAGCTTTTCTTACCTGGTGAAGATGCTGCAAAAATCCAGTGTTTCATGCAAACTGAATAAGATGGATAACAAACGCTAGATTCCTACTGCCTTTATCTGTAGTGTCATTTGAAAATTGTTTTTAAATTTTTATGCCTGCATTTTCCATTAGTGTTCATCTACAGGGGGGCAATTAGAGTTCTGAAACATTAGCACCATTTGCATGTATATATTAACAAGTGACCACAGGTATTATCAGGATTTTTTTTTGTTGGTTTTTTTTTTTTTTTAAAAATCATAACTCTTTTGGACCTGTTTCTATGGCAACATGGGGCATTTTAAGCTGAACTCCAAGCAGATATAAAAGCCAAAAAATAGAGCAGCTCAGTAATAATATCACTAATAACCCAATTCACATCGCAATTCCACGCACTGCAACATTGTCAGGTGCTGCGTTAAACAGACCATTCAAAATCAACACATACAAAAACAGGATTTTTTCTGCAGCAAAGTACAACACACAGGGAACTATGGAGGGATTTGATCAAAATTGGAGCAAACAAATTGAAGCAGCTGTGCATGGCAACCAATCAGCTTCTATCTTCAGCTTGTTCAGTTAGGCTTTGAAAATGAAAGTAGAAGCTGATTGGTTGCCAGGCACAACAGATGCTGGTTACTCCAGTTTTGAGAATGTCTCCTTCATGTGTTGTACTGTGATGCAACATTGTTCTACACACAGAGGAGCAGGGGGAATCTTAGCACTGATTATATTCTTGCAAATTCCAGTGAACAGGCAGGTGACAGGTGAAGCCTCATGGCTCTGTAACATTCAAGTGCTAGTAAACCCAGGACCCTGAATTCACTATATCTGGTCTCCCACAGAACATGGAAGTTAAATTATTTTAGTAAATATAAACTGCTAAATACCTTTTCTCATCAGACGTTAGAGCAGTCTTGTGACTTCTATCAGTGTCTAGAAGAGTACTGGTTAAAGCTTGTAGGAGGAGTTTCCATTCTCCCCTGATTGTCCTATGAGGCTGCATAACCCCTGACCACCTGTCTGGACAGCACTCATTAGAAGTTATAGAAGTCACAAGACTGCTCTCAGTGTCTGGCAGGAGTTTTCATTCTCCCCCGATTGTCCTATGAGGATTCAGGACCCCTGATCCTTTGTCTAAACAGTGCCGATTGGCCCTGTGCTGATCACAAGGCCCTGTGCTGATCACATGCACTGTCCCAAGAAAAAAAAAAACCCGCAACATCTAACAATAAACACCAAACCTCGGCTCTGTTCTATCAGGAAATGGATTAGGGACAGTAGAAGGGGAGAATCAGAGAAGACAAGATCAAATTGGAGGATTAACCCCCTTAGGTTCCACAGTGAGTATAACAAGCATGCTGTATTGCATATACAGACTGATTTTACTGTAGTAACACTTTAAGGATTAATACTGCAAGTAGGATTAAAGATATTATAGTACATAAAAACAAAGTTCCAATAAGGAATTTGCAGTGTTGCCTCATGCATCAACTGTCTATTATTGGTGCTGTAACAGTCTTTTCCTATTAATCTACACATAAGCGTGTGTTTACAGTATATGGGACCAAGGTTAACCACCTCCCAAAAGGCCTCTGCAGAAGTCCTCATGCACACTTGATGTTTTTACAGCTGCTGTTTGTGGCTTTTGACTTTTTTTTTCTACAGCTAGTAACCCCCCCCACCGGCATGTTATCCTATGTGTCCATGCACACAGACTGTAATCAACGTTTTTTTGGCTGGGACATTTCATGGATGGAAAAATCCCCAGGACTAGTGGGTTTCTAGAGGAGTTTTTTAGCTGTAAAAACGAGGAATTGTTTTGCAGGGGGGGGGTTTAAAAGTGCAGCAGCCCACCAATGGTGAAGGACAGGGTCAGGGCTGTTTTAAATCGATACTGACCACCAACAATTGGTCACATGGTCTTCAGCAGTTTTAAAATGCCATAACCTATGATGGGGGGGGGGGGGCTGCGATAGGTAGGATTAAAAATGCCACTGACCACCAATGATTGTGGGATTTTTTTTTGTGTCCATTTAAACTTGCCTACCTCCAGGTCTGATCAGGCCCACTAAAAATAAATATGGAAACACAGTTCTCTCCCGTCAGCTCCTGTACACAGTGTGCTTACAGTGAAGCACAAACACAGCCATACAGTGCAAAACAGGAGACAGGTAACCCTTTGATCGCCTCACGTTACCCCCTTCCTGCCCAGTGTTATCAGTACAGTGTCAGTGCTTTTTATTAGCACTGATCACTGCACTGTAGTCAGTTCCCCCCAGTGTCAAAATGCCCACCGCAGTCCTGCTATGAGTCGCATAGCATAATTCACATAAAACCAATTAATTTACATATACTGGAATTTTTTTTTGTTTGTTTTTTTTTTTTTTTAGCAAAGACATGTAGCAGAATAAATTTGTCTAAATTTATGATTAAATTTGATTTTTAAATTTTTTTTTTTTTTTTTACTGGACAGGTTTAACAAGTCAAAAATAGTTTTTTTTTCTCAAAATTGTCAATCTTTTTTTTTTTCTTTTTTTTATAGCAAAAAAAAAAAAAAAAATAAACACAGAAGTGATCAAATAACACCGAAAGAAAGCTCTATTCATGAAAAAAAAATAAAATAAAATTCATTTAGGTGCAGCGTTGCATGACCACACAATTGTCAGTTAACCTCTTGCCGACCGCGCATAGCCGAATGACGGCTTCACCGCGGCCGGCCAGTTCTGAGTGGACGTCATATGACGTCCTCCCAGAACGCGCTCTCCTGCGCGCCCCAGGGGGCGCGCACCCGGCGATCTCCGTGATCGCTGTGTCCTACGGACACAGCTGATCACGTGATGTGGTGAAAGGCCGATCCCACCGGCCTTTTACCACGTGATCAGCGGTGTCCAATGACACGCTGATCACAGGGAAATGCAAGTGCCGGTTCTCGGCTGCACTTTCCTCACGCTGTCAGATCGTGAGGAAAGTACTGCCGAGAACCGGCAGTTGTCAGAGCGGGGATTGGCACCGATCATCAGGGCACTGATGATCAGTGCCCTGATGATCGGTGCCCAGCAGTGACACCCGCAAGTTCCGCCCAGCAGTGCACCCACTAGCCCCGCCCACCCGTTCCCAGCAGTGCACCCACCTGTGCCCAGAAGTGCCACCTACATGTGCCCAGAAGTGCCACCCACCTGTGCCCACCCACCAGTGCCCGCCCCACCAGTGCTGCCAGTCAGTGCCACCAGTCAGTGCCCAGGGGTTGTGCCCATCAGTGCCGCCCATCAGTGCCGCCCATCAGTGCCGCCCATCAACGCAAATCAGTGAAGGAGAAAAAATACCTGTTTGAAAAAATTTATAAAAGAAACAAATAAACTTTTTTTTTTTTTTCACATTTTTTGCACTTTTTTTAATTTATAGCGCAAAAAGTAAAGTGCCCAGTGGCGATTAAATACCACCAAAAGAAAGCTCTATTTGTGAGAAAAAAATGATCAAAATTTCATATGGGTACAATGTTGCATGACCGCGCAATTGTCAATCAAAGTGCGGCAGCGCTGAAAATTGGCCTGGTAAGGAAGGGGGTATAAGTGCCTGGTAGGCAAGTGGTTAAAGTAGCGCAGCGCCATATAGCAAAAATGGCCTGGTCAGCACTTACAGGTTGTGTCCTGCCTCCAGGGGAGGACTGACCATTTGGAAACCCGGGCACTGCCCGAGGGCCCGGGGTCAGTAGGGGGCCCCATGAGATGCCCCTGGTATCTTTTTCATAGGCTTTTTTGAGTTTGGGCAAGGACACAGGGGCCCCATGATCCCCTATTGCCCAGAGGCCCCATGACTGCCTCGGTCATTCTGCTTCTTTTAAAGTGTCCTTTGATAACACAAAACAGCACAACTGATTGACACCAAGTGCTGCTTCTCTCCTAGTCTGAGCTCTGCTTTACAGGAGAAGAAAGTCAAATTCATGAATTTACACTACTCGGGGGGGTGGGGGGGGGGGGGGGGGGGAATGTATATTATATATATATATGCATTAAAGCAATATTAGAATCTTAAGATACTTACCTCTGCACCAGCTTCTGTCATGGACATCTTCTCCCTGACTTTTATTGGGTCTTCAGATGTCTTGACTGGCCAGGCCAGAATGTGGTCATTGGTCATTGTGGCACCAAGAGCCAGGGTCAGGGAGGTGACCTAGCTGTATTGCTTGCTTGTAGTAGAAAAAAGTCTGCTCACTAATTTAGTCATGTTGTCAAGCAGGATTGTATAAATCTCAGGATCATTCTGCATGTAAAACATGTCATTATATATATTTTTATTATGGGTTTCAACTGTGTAATTAACCTGGATTTCAGGCTTAAGGCTAGGTTCACACCTATGCAGGTTGTGTTTGACCCGTATCTGCATTGCGTTTTACACCTGACATTTCCCCCCCATATTTTCTCTTGTTGCTAGGCGGATTTAAAATGCATCAAAAATGCACTACATGCTTTTCTGCAGCGTTTCCATTAAAATCTATAGAACCAAAAATGCTACTTTTTGCGTTCAAAACACCCTGACCCTTTCCAAAAAATGCACCAGGTGAAAATGTGGACATGTGAACATGTCCCGTAGGAAATCATGTTAAATGGACTGTACTGCATTTCTGCAAAAACGCTTAGGTGTGAACGTGGGATAAAGCAAACCATGAAGCTGGCCATACTTGGCTGAAATTTAACAATATTCCTGTGAAACCAAAACCACCACCTGGCTCAACATACTTCAGTTGTGGAATCAAAGGAGCCAGGTGGAAAAAAAAAAAAAGGCAGCTGCCCGATGACTGCTGTCAGTCAGCGCAAGGTTTGTACATCCACACTGTTCAGCATAGATAGGGGATCTGTGGATTTCTCTTAACCCCTTCACGCCTAATGGTAAAACAAATATTAAAGCCCAAGTAAAATTTACAACTTTGACATGTGTTAGTAAAACTGTACATAATCAAAACTACTTTGTACATCCAGGAGAATTATACCTGTTTTTTTTTCTGGACAGATTGGGCTTTCATTTGGTGGTAAAATAGTAATGGATATCTCCTGATTTTTTTTTTAGTCAAAAAGGAAAAACTGGCCCATAAACAGTAAAAAAAAAAAAAAAAAAAAAAAAAAATGTTTTTCCCCCTTTAACCATTTGCTGCCCGCCCTATGGCTGAATGGCGGGTGGCAAAGGTCATCAGCGTTTCGGGTGGACGCCATATGGCGCTCCTGCAGAGCGGCGCGATCTGTCACTGGCCATGTACCTCGGACATGGCCGATGACAGATCTGAGTATCGGCCCCGTTGCCGGTACCATGTGACCTGCTGTGACCAATCACAGCAGGTCACATGACAGTTGGCTTCATTCATGCCATCCATTATATAATAGTGTCTAGCTGTGAATGGTCACAGCTAATCACATGCACGTCATGTGATTAGCTGTGGCCAAATCACAGCGAAGCACAAAAAAAAAAAAAAACCCTGAATGAATCGACGTCATTCAGGTAAAATGCTCGCTTATAGCAAAGTAATTCTTTGCTATAAGCAAAATTGTGTAAAAAAAAAAAAAATACTGATCACTTCCCCAAAGTAGTACAATATTACTATGGTAACATTGTACTACTTTGGTCATAGTGAAATATGAAAAAAAAAAAAAAAAACAAACAAAAAAAAAAAACAAAAAGACAGGTATGCGGCCCCACAGAAAAAATGCCCAGTTCTGTGAGACCGCCTATTTTTGGGTTACGTCGGCGTGAAAGGGTCAAGCATCCTCGCAAAATCTTCACAAGTATGGACAGCTTTACTTTGGCTATACTAGGCTAGCTTTACAGTAGGTAATATAAGTACACCCCCTCCACCTCAATCTGCCACGGAAGCCTTGGGAAATATTCTGTATACGCGTTAGGGTATTGGGTTAAACATAACCGATACCCCCTAGGTTCTTGAGTAACCAATCACTAGGCCTGAGCAGCATCATGTGATAAGGTTAGCATAGCCCTTTGTAAGCCTTAAAACATACACCCAAATTCAGGGTGTAACATGTTACTGTTGCAGCTGCCCCCCCCTTCCCCGATCCCCCATTGTGACAGCAAGACGGGTATTCTCTCCCCATACCTATCACAATTTAAAAAAAAAAATAAATAATATGGTCATGCGGGGCTCCGCCCACCTGATTGCATAATTCATTCACAGAGTACTGACAAGAACTTTGTGGCTGTCGGCTTGTAGCTCTCAAGTAAATACCAGGGTGCTGATGAGTGCTCTAGGTAGTTCATTGATTCTTCCTGTCATTCAGTGACTGCCCATATGAGCAGACAGATACACTGACAGGTCTCACATTGCACCCAGTCTGCTGATTGCAGGTACAATGCTTTGCAGGCTTCTAGTAAAACAATAAAAAAAAATTTTTAAATACTAAAAAAGTATTTTTTAAATACTACTAGCATGTTTAACCTGCAAAAAGATGTGCATTTATTACAGGGTTTGTTTTTTTTTTCCTTTAAAAGTTTAGTCTTTTTGGTGGTGGGGATAAAGCAGAAGATCGCTCCTCTGGGCAGTATCTGGATGGATATAGGAAGACATTTTACAAGAAGCAGAAGCCCGCAGAACATCATATACACACACCAGGACAGTTAACTAATGTGTCTGATGGAATATCCCAGATCAATGCATTCACCAGCACACCATGGATCATCAAATGTCACCCAACACATTTTGCCCATAGATCGACTTTAAAATTGTGCCTACTATAAACACAAACCTATTTTAGTAATCACATGATTAGAGATCACTTGTAGAAGGTGTTTGTAATATGTTGCTTGAATTAAACAGTTCTGAATTGGTCTTAGATTCACACAAACAGCACTAAAAACTGATAATACATGAACAAAATGGGACGATATCCAGGCAATAAGTGGGCAACACACTAGCTATTCTGACAGCAGGTAAGCGCAATATGTAAGAAACATACTGACAATTGTGACAATACAAAAGCAACAATTGGGCAATCATGCCAATAAACAGGCAACAAAGTACAAATGTGAGAATATGTGGGCAACAAAATGGGGAATCCAAAGTATACATGCCCAACAGACAATCGTGGCAGCAAATGGGCAATTAGGACATTAGCTGGGCAGCAAACAAGCAATATTAGGTAACAAAATGCAGGGACAACCATTGGAGCCCAGTCTACCTCCTCCAACAAACGTACGTCTCTTCAAGGTCTCCAGTCGCAGTATATCTGACCAAATACACCATTCAGAGGCTGGTAAGCACCACTAGTGTCTCCTCTACAAGGTGAGATCAGTGCTCTACACTGAAATGTGACGCAGAGCAGTGATGTCACTACTGCAATCAGCCAAACGGCCAACAGGCCAGCATACTATGGGAAACCTGGCTATCATAACGATCAGCTGAGGTCTCTGGGCCACTTCCAGAGAGTTCCCAGGCATGTCCATCATTCACATCTATAGGGGGTGATGAGGGTCAAAATTATGCACATGGAGTGGAATTATAGCAAAACCATACACAACTGCATTTGTTGCACATGTCCTATAGTGCAATCATTGTGGAAATAAAGAATATAATTTTATATATATACACATATTAAAGCAATCATTAAGAGTGACTTCACATTAGATGTGGTGGGACGGTGTTGGGCAGCTATTGCAAGGCACTCCCACTACATTACAAGGCAAAATGCCTTGTCTCCTGTGTGCCCAGTTCACACCACTCCGTTTGTGTGTGTTGAAAAAAGTACTGCATGCAGTACTTTTTTTTCAGTGCACCGCAGTGCAAGGCAATCCACTGCCTCAAACTGTGCATCAGCTGAACTTTAAGGGGAGTTCCTCCAGACAGCCCCCCCAAAAAAAACATTTAAAAGTCAGCCGCTACAAATACTGTAGCGACTGACTTTTAATATTAGGGCATTAACCTGTCCAGGCATCCAGCAGTGTCCTTACCCGAACCGATTCTTCAATTGGCTATCGGGTGCTGGAGTTGCCATGTTGACTAAGACCCCTAGTTCACATATATGTGGCTGTGCAGGCTGCGTTTTGCACGGGCATGAGAGCCCATTCATTTGAATGGACTCCCATGTCCCGTGACATACAGAGAAGTCCCTGCACTTCTTCTGAAAACGTAGCCCACACGGGAACCTCGGTTCCCAGCACGGTTGTGTTTTCCAGTGCGGGCGTTGTGCCATTAGAATTAATGACACACGCTCGCAGGTCCACATTTCTTTATGCGGGTGGTGGGATTTTCGTGAGGATCTGCAGTGGCACCACCCGCACAGATGTGAACCTAGCCT